TTTAACTGGACTAGTAAAAATGCACACACACACACACACACACACACACACAGACATAACACAAACACCAACAACTTACAGACTGGGGCCTGTCTGAAAAGTTTCTTAGTGTCAAAGCTTTTGTCAGGGTTGGGTGGTTGGAGTGCAAGGAGGTGGAGAAAGAGGGGAGAGAGGGTGAAACAAAGGAAAGACATCTAGCAGGTGCATAACTGCTGTCCTTCGGGCACTTGTGTTATCTGTGCTCTCTGTGGCAGTAAGGGTCTTTGTCTGTGCAGGTCTTAGGAGCTGCTGGGACTGCAGGGAAGTGGGGTGAGGGAACGGGGTTATTCTGCTCAATGCCAGGCAGTAAGAGAGCAGACAGCAAAGCAGTAAGAGGAGGGGGTGCTGGGTAATGCAGGTGGCTGTGTGTACCTAGGTGTCTGCGCCTACACAATACCAGGTGCATATGAGTTAGAGTAGAGGGAGAGAGATGAGATTAAAAGAAAGTGTGGTTGTTACCTCTCCACCAGGCCGTAAAGCAGCACCCCCTCCCTCCGCTGAGGCCTTTGTTTCACGGCTAATGGTCCAGGTTAATTGCACAGGTGACTTTCTGCAGGGGAACAGATGGGCACAAATGTGTTCAAAAACAATCCGAAGCAAGCGCAAAAAAAACAAGTTCTTTTCTTCTTCATTCTTTTTCTTTCTCATCTTCTCTAACTGGAGACACAGAGACGACTGGGTTGAGGTTAAACTCTCAGTGGTTTTAATTCATCAAGCACAAGGCCTGTAAGTTCTCATTAGATCTCATTACAGTGCATATTAGACTCGGGCATTGGCTACTGGAAGGACAGTGGGTAGTAGTGGATAATAGACGTCTCTCCTATGCCTGATGTTCATCACCTCATACACTATATTTTGTTTCAGGAGTAGAATGTTATGCTTACAAATTCAGATATAAAATGTGACTAATAAATGTCATTATTTTGTATATTTTTTGCTTTTATTGATCTTTTCAATTAGCATGCCACTGTTGCTACCAGGTTCACTTATGGCATAAAGGATATCTTAATTTGCCATGATATTTGAATCCCGCACGTACCAGACAGAAGCTTTTTAGAATTCTAAAAATTATTTCTCTCTTTTCTCCAATGAATCATGAAGGCTGCATGTGAGCCATCAGAAACTGAGCTCTCAATCGATCCAGTTTTTTTTCCTCCTCAGCACAACATGCAAGAGATGACAGATAGCAAATTGAATTTATGAACAGGCTTTGTTGACACTGCTGCATATAATTATAGGAATGCAATCCTTTTGGTGTTTAAAGACAGAGCCCAGCATTTCATTCACATACATAGTAGGTTTTCTGCTTGCATGACTGAGTGAAAAGCTTTGTCACATTTCTGAGGCGACAGCTGTTCTTTTACTTTGCAGTTACATACTTATTTTGAATGCTGTAGATGACTGATTTTAACTGGCAGAAATAAACAAGTTGTCATGTTTAGCATAATGGAAGCTTATTTATTTGATTCCTAATTGAGGATTAAGAGTTACTATGGAGCCTTTAATGATAATTGAAGACTTGGCTCGATTCCTGTGTCTCCTCTACCTGATCTTGCCATGAGCAGCCACGGCTGTCCTGCTGCCATTAGCTGAAGTACACCATCTCCTTTCCTTTAACGATCTGTCCTTTCCTCTTGCTGTCTTTGTTTGTCAAACTTGTATCCAATTGTCAGCTGAGAAAACCGCACCATATATTTGGATTAGTTCACTGAAGCCTTGTAAATATACAACATGTATTTGTATCAGTAAAAATGAACGTATATGCAGGTTTTACAGTGTAGGAGCAGGTCTGTGTGTCTGTGCTTGCATACTGCAGTGTATGTTTTAGAAATAATTAAATGTCACAGGGCTCACACTGTCAAGTATCCAGGAAGGTGTTTTACGACCATGTGTCTTGTCTCACTCCACCACGCATTACTGCACCCACAGAAACCCTCTTCACTTTTTTCCTTGCTGCCACCTATGCTCTTACTCTCCCTCTCTTCTTTTTCTCTATATTCTACCTCCTGCCTCATTCTTTCTTTTATATCTTCCTTCCCCAATAGTGACACTTACAGTATCTCTGCTCCTTCTTTTCCTTCCTCTCTGCCCTTGCAACTGTTGACACCTGACTTTGTGTTCTGCTCCTGGGATTGATGAATGGTACATTGTGGCTTCTTTCTTCCACTTTTACTGCAGGTTTAGAAACCCTAATCGGATGTGTGAAGTTTTTATGCCAGTCCTGCTAAGAGCACATTGCTTTCGCAACCCCTCCTAATTAGAAAATGTGATAGTGCTGCTTGTAAATATATTGCAGACAGAGCCAGTCCCCAGGGCTCAGCGTTACATTTAACACAGTGGGTCGAGCTGCCACCTGATATTCAGGTAAAGAAGGGGGAGAACGGGGGATTGAAGGTAGACAGGGATCAAAGGGAAAGATATGGAACAGGTACACCATCTCTCACTGGGAGGTAGAGTTTCACAGAGCTTTATTTCTGCTCTTAAAGGTTTAACTGTTTAAGAAAGTACCTAAAAGTGCAAAAGCTGTGTTCCACACTTCCACAAGCTTTAATAAGATCATTAAAGGACCCCGGGGCTGTCTGTTACGGTGCCCACCAAGGTGTTTCATCACTGGAAGGGTTTGTCAATGTCTTGGGTCTTAGCCTGTCTTAACCCATTTAGAAAGCAATTTCCTGTGAGCAGAGGGGATCTTTCCTCTTGAGATAGATCTCTGGGCATAAAAGGTTAGCTTTTCTGTAATTCCACAGCATGCGATCTACCAGTGCTGCTAATGAGAGGCGGATGAATATTTGCCCTAGGTTTAACAGCTCAAAATAAGACGAGTTAGTGGCAGGAATGAGGCAGAAATATATGCTAAAGTGGGCAGTGTTACAAAGAGCAAGGATGAACATTTGCTCTTCTTTGCTAAATGTAGTCAAATAATATTCAGCTTTAACGTTTTCTTGCAAATTTGTTGAATACCTATAAACATAGAGTATATGTTATTAAACTGATAGTCTGAAGGCTCGTTTGTGAGACATTCTTGCAGAGAGTAAGGCCTACTCAACTTTCTTTAGCCCAATAGGACATTGTTAATTGAGCACTGTGAGATGACTGGGGAGTATGTTTCCCATTTTAGTCATTTTGGTTCTTTGTGTCTGCAGTTCTTCCCCTAAACCCGAGTCTACAAGGACTCCCAAGTCTTGGTCATTACAAATGATGAATTGTGCTACAGTTAAGCTAGAAGTAGGACAAATTGATCAAAGTGTCAGGTGCCCCCTGTGATGTCTAGGTCTCCATGAAGAAGGCAGTGAAGAAGGAGCTGTCAAAAAGTTTCTTGTGCCAAGGTGGTTGTAGAAAAATGTTTACCTGCCACTTAACGTGTTCCGCATTCTGTCAGTCTCACATTTTGTCCTTTGCTAGCCTATATAAGAAGTAGAAGCTTAAGATAATGGGAAGTGATATTATTAGTTGCAAGTTGATTGCCATTTTGCTCTTTAGGTCCACCGCAGAGGAAGCCCATGCTCCCCCTTTTAAACCAATGAGCTTGCTATCTGAGGTGTAGTGCTGCAATTTGAGATAAGCACTACTTGGCTTAGATTTGGTTTTGTTCTGATAAAGCAGGTCTAATTAAGCTTGATTTAATCGGGATAGCTTTTAAGCACAGCACACAGCCGGAACAGATATTTGATTTCAAAGTAGCCCTTGGGACGGACTTGATGAAGAAAGGGAAGGAAAAAGATAGAGCAATATTAGCGTGAGTAAGTGACATGTTTCTATTCTTAGTTATACTATCTTCTTTTACTTGCAGGAATGATTGCAGGTTGCGTGATTTGTTGCTGGAAGAGAAAGGAAAAACATGTGCATCCCTGACTTTCTCTGGCAATGGCAAAACATGCCATTCCTTTAAATTAATCATGTAGCATTCATTGCCATGGTGTTTTGTTCATAAATTCAATTTGCCTCACTGTCATGTTTCTTTGAGCACAGTAACAAAAGATTGATCATCCTGGTGTCACTGAAAGTGTTGTGGTGAAAGTAGCAGTTGTCTCCACTTATTTTTGAATGTTTCCCTTCAGCTATAGCTGTAAGTACAGTGGAGAAACAAGATGCCTGGACCATGATGGTAAACACTGTGAAGGAGCTAGTTCAATCGTGTATGCAAAAGAATTGATGGCCAAGTCCCCAGCTCCACAATAAGTCACCCTAATGATCCTAGTTTAAAATAATGTCTGTTCTGGACCAGAATGATGAAAAGGGTGCCCCTCTGTCTCATTAGTAGAGGCGTAAAGATAGATGACCCAGATATAGAAAGCAAGCTTATTTTTGAACCCCTTTTCAATTGAGTAGTGTGCTGCATGTGCAAAGTATGGGCACAACTTGTCACTCTGTTGGCCTCAGAGCACCTGAAGTATCTCCTACATGTCTCTCCAGTCATCCCGACTCCAGTTCAATTCTCTAGTGTCACACGACAGCTGGAACGGTGGGCAGGGGGAATGTTTTTCGAAGGCTGATCTCGGTGTCATTGACTGAACAATGATAGAGTGCCTGGGTATTGAGCGGCTCCACACTAAATCTTTGTAAAGAGCACTTAGCTCCCCTGCGTTAGCCACAGAAAGAATATCTGTCAATGACCATCAGTGGATGCTTTCATCCTGAGGCTCCTCTTGCCTGTATTAGTCGCTAAGCTCTAAGTGTATTTTTCCTCCTCCCCATCTGTTTACTGAAAAAAGGACAGGTCTGAGTGACAGGTATCTGTCTCAACACTCTATGAAAGGCTTGTTTATATCTCATTCAGAATCACAGCTGTGAGATAAGGTGTTTTTTTTATGTACCTGTAGTTTTAGGGCATGCATTGCTTTCATTACCAAGAACTAGACCTTGATGCAGTCTTGCACATGTATGTGTGTATCACTCATAAACATGTTATTATGTATTTCATCCCGTAAACATCTTTGCCTCCATTATCTGTTCTCTTATAGAGGGAGATGAAACTGGTGTGATGGATAGCCTAATGGAAGCTCTACAGTCCGGAGCAGCCTTCCGTGATCGGCGAAAACGAGCACCGCGCAATGGTAAGCCAGCAGAACACACTTTTTATGTCCTGAATGCTGAAACAAATCTCCTTTCTCCCTTTAGTTCTTCATAATTTACCTTCAGTTAATTGCCTCTGTCTGTCATACACAAGACGCTCTCCAGTTTGCATGTAATTAGTGTGCATTGTGCTTGTGTTTTTTTGATTTATATCAGGGATTTTTGACTAATCCATATGGCATGGTCCAATATGTACATACAAACCATTGCCACACGTGGCCTAGTGCAGGTCATTGGCAATTAAATTTCTCTTTGTCATCCATAAAGCAGTTATTATATTATTATAATGTAGCCATGCTGGTTGCAGTTAGACTGAGGCTGGTTTAGTGTAATCCTGGTATTAACATACAGTATTCTGTTCTGCCATGATGAATGGCCTTTGCTCACAGGAGTACCAGCAAGTAGTGGTGCCAGGGCCAATTGATATGCAAGTCAGAATTCAGCCAAGTGCTGGATTGGTTGATTTTACACTAGATAGGCAATACACCAAACAGCCAGCAGGAAAAATAAGCATACAGTCAGAGGTCAGATGTGTTATCTATTGCTATTAGCCACAGAATGGTTATTGGTAGCAAATATTTGCTGTTGGCATATAAGAGAAGATTTGTAGTGTGTTAATTAGCCTGTCCTGCATGGCTGCTTACAGTGCATTTGGCAGTGAAAGGTACCTGCTCGGTGACATGGTCTGGACATATTGGTTAGGGCATTCCCAGCCCTGCCTGGGTCACTTCCTCTAATGTTCTTCCAAAACATTTTGTTCACAATAAGCAGATTTTAAAAATTCTATTATAATTTTTAAGCGCTTACATGGTGCCTATGTGTGGGTTTATACAAAGCAGTAGAATGAATTCATTCAATTTGTGGAGTAACTGGTAACTTGCTATGTTTTCAAAGTAGCTTCCCCAACAGTGTATAACAGCTTTGTGACTGAAAATCCCTACTTTCACACTGTAGTGCACACATACCTTTGCCTTCCTTAATAAACATATCCTGCTCAATTTTTTATCTGCCCCTTTTTCATTCCATAGTTTTTTATTTGGGCTTAATGTGAGCTTGTGTTTGTCAAAATGTGTGGCGTGCAGATGTCATAGCAGCTTTTGCCAAACTCTGGGAGTGGGTCCTTGCTGCCAAATATCTGAAATGTTCCGTCTCTGATGCCTTTTCTGTCTCCTTTTTCCTCCATCCTTCCCTTCCCTTCTCTCCTTTTCTTTTTCTTTCCTTTTTTTTTTTTAAATCAACACTGTTGTTACAGGTGATCAGAGCCCTTCCAGTCCAGGCTCTCGGTGGCCAGGTGGTAACTATGGTAACAGAACTCTAGGTGTGTGTATTTAATTACTTGTTTACCTTAGACCCAGCACCGCCCTGCCTCCCACTGCACTTCTCCTGGCTGCATAGTTCATGTCCTTCCTGTCACAGCATTCAAGCTGAGCTGGTCTACAACATATGAAGTCCTGTGCTGAGTTATTGCATTTGACTTAGAAAAGAATTAAGTGGTCAGAGGTTATAGTACTTACGATTTACTGTACTTAAAAAGCAACCATGAAAGCTTTTGTAAGATGATGAAATTTAATTGAAACTAAGACAAACTTAACATACACAGCTCCTCACTGAGAAAAGACGTATACAGTTTCAAAATGTGCAGTTAAGTAACAAATTGTCTTTGCTCATATATTTACAGCACACAATAAAAAAAGAAAAACATCATGCCATTTTATGTCTTTGCCTCTATAGATGTGTACCATAAGCTCAGTTTCTCTGGAAGCACATTATAAAGTAACTGTCATTTTGGTTAATGACTACAAGTACATAAATTCAGTGAGAAAATTATGCTCTGTGTATATTAGAAAAAGAGCAAGTGAAACAATTCCACAAAAAATTGTGTGGAGCTGAATATATTGTAAGTCAGCACCAGAGGAGGCCACATCAAATTTGCCTTGAGTCAGAACAATATACATATATACATTACTGTTGCAGCATTTTTCGTTACCTGTAATGAATGTCTTTTGTGCACATAGGACCATGTGCAGAAGCAGGAAAGCCTCTACTGTACTTGAAAGAGATGTTTGTACTGCTGAGTGACCTCGTGTAAATAAAGAGCAGTTTGTGGTGTCAGAGTAGTGGTATGGATGGGTCCTGGAGTGGGTACCACCTAAAACAACACAGTGATACAGGGGAGAAACAATGAGGTGCACTGATGGGAAGGGACAGCATGCATTTTTCTGGTGAAGGTCATAGAGGTAGTCAAAAGTGGTAAGGCACGAATACAGTTTGTACTTTCTCTCCTTCTGTTGTGATTTTCTGAATGGAATATTACCTTCATATCTGAGGCCAGGGTACTCAGAAAATGATGTAACGCCCATTTTGCATAAAATGAAAGTAGTGGACTGAGGTGACAGTTTCTCAGGGTCTTGTTTATGACAGAGAGGGTAAGATGGAGTAGGAGACTGACAGATGGTTGTAGCTTCAGCAACAAAGCATATGTTGTATTGCAGCATCTTGATGGAGCTGAATCTCAAGGTAAAGCTTCAAATTTATAGCCCTCCTCTATTATCATGAACTCTGGGTCGTGACCAAAAAATTATTAGCATGTAGCATTGAAATAGTAGCATTGTTCTTGTGCGCTGAAGAAGTCGGTCGAGGTGGTCTGAGAATCTGATTGGGAGCTTTTTGGATCACCTTTCTTTTTTATGTAATCTTGGTAGGTACAATTTGGAGGAGATTTGGATTAGAACATGCTGGTGGGATTCAGTACATCATCCCTGGATTATGTGACTGTGATGGCTGCGTTACCTCACTTGTTACCATGGCCACCGTGTCTGGGGTTCGATGCAGCCTGGACCCTGATAAGTACCAGTAAAATGGTTGGCCACTAGTGCTCCATATGATGGGTCATGATATGTCAGCAGCATCAGCCTTTGCCCGGTGCACTTTCTTTACTTGTGCACACCAATTCCATGTTACCAAAATGTGTTATGGACTGATGGCTTCCTTTTTATTGATATGGAACCTGGAACTGTGGTTTGATAAACAGCTGCATGGATTCTCTACTCTGAGGTGATGAGAGAGAGAAATCCATTTGACATGCTGACTCCATGGATTTTTTTTTTTTCTTAAATTGAATCTGGAAATGAGTTCAGCTGGTATAAAGCTGAGCGAATTTGTCTCATCTTACAAAAGGGGACAATCAGAAATGTTTACACGCAGTTAAAACATAAAAAAATTAAGAAGTACTCTTTATAAAGATAATCAACAAAGTTCCCCAGTGAAGCACAATTTCGTGACAAAAGGCAGCTCTGTCAGTGATAGCTGATTTTAGGTTGTTCACACATGATGGGAACTGTTGACATTTTAGTCAGTATTTAGAGAATGATGGTGTAATTTTTGGGTCAGTGCAGCAGGATTAATGTTTATGTACCTTTGTTGTGTACATATTGGATTTTCTCTCTGACTCTGGGACTGACAGCATTTCAATCTCTGAATCTACCAGCAAAGAAAGTTCTCTGAGCAGTTATATCACAGTGTACCAAATCTAATCACTCCTGCTTGTCATCCCTTTTGTAATGTCATGCTTTAAAGCTTGATTAACCTCCTGTCATCCTCAAATGAGCTAGAGAGAGTCTCTCAGAGTCGCGCTAGAATCTTCATTTGCGTCAGAGGAGTTCATTTGAACCCAGCATGTCGTTCTTTGTCATCCTTCAGGCTAAACTATACTCCAGACTACCTCAAGTGTCAAGATGAGCACAATTCTAGACGCCGCCAGTCACAATTACACCCAATTCCAGGACCATTTCCTATTTCATTGTCTCCACTTTGTTTAAGATGGAAAACCTAACCTAGGAGGCCATACTCATGTGTTATACAATTATCCCAGCCAGTCCTAAATCAACACACAGACACAGAATTGAATTGATAGAGCCCTGAAAAGCCATGTTTTTGTTGAGGGTTCAGTCTCATTTCAGGAAGATAATATACTGTATAAAGTTGAATTTAAGTTTTACCTGAATAAGAATAAGAATACTCATTTTCTATCTCCCATTTCCTTTCTGGTGAGACACTTACCTGGGTATCTGGCAGAAGATTGGTGGGTATAGAGCAAGAGCCTCTCATACATCCTGGCTCATTGATTTTCGGTCAGGGATGAAAGCCACAAACTCAGTAGGACTTTCATACTGGGGGCCATCCCAAAAGACGCATCAATCAGATTTCACAGGGAACCAAACCAATCATATTTATTTACTGTCTTTTCAACATCTTTACAATCCCAAACCAGGGCCTCTCTCTGCCCCATTCTTTCCTGCTTCATCTTCGCAGGTCAGTCCATCAAAAGTTCCCTGTATAGTAAGGAAATGTTTGACACTAAACGGAGAGGGATCATCTTTATGCACAGCCCATTAAAAAATAAAGATCAATTGTTATAATGTTTGTCAGGGTTATAGAATTTCAGACAGCTGTCCAATCCCTAAAAGCTTTGCAGTTAATTCAGCTATTCAGGACCAGAGGGTTGGCCCTCTGTATGTTTAATGATTATTGTATCTACTGTATTTTCTCTCATGAAATGTTAAAGGATGAAAGGGGTTGAATCTGCGAAGAGCAAAGTGAAGTTTCTTAAAGAAGGGGAGATTTTGGAAGACAAAGAATTGTTTCCTGTTCTCATATCCCCCAGCCTCATTTATGACATAATTGATCTTTTAATACATCGGTGTTTGTTATCCACATCAACCTGATGTAGACAGCCACATGTTCAGCCTGGCAGCTATGCTCTCATCTTTCCCCTGATCTGTGGGAAATCATACATTTGTTTCTTAAATTGCATATCTGAAAGTGATAGTGATCATAATTCCCTGAGCAATTAATTTGATCACATGTATGTTGTACCCGTCGCTTTATCTCTCTAATTGTCTGTCAGCCTTTTTAGCAGTTGTTCTCTTGTACTGTTTCACATACACACATGTGCAAGCTTGTGTCACATATCAGATAGGGACTGTTGCTATTGGGTGTCTCTGAGTTGAGGGCTAAAGCTTTTTGCCTCCACAAGATCCCAGCTTAAACTTCAAGGTGTTGATAGATGTTGTTCATTGGGGTGGCCCTAAAGGCAATACTCCAGGTAGTGAAGCCAACATGATTTGGGGAAAAGAGACCCAGAGGGTGTGATGCCAGTTGCTATAGCTCGGATGACTTGGTAGATGTGAAATATCAATATAGTAAATGACAGCATAGCTCTGTAGAAAAGGGAAAGGCAGATGGAAAGGAACTGAGGCATGGACAGCCACTCCATTGAAGATATGACGTCCTAGGGCACAGACAAAGCCTTTGTACCTCCCATTGCCCCTTAGGGCCTTTCTCTGGACCTTAATAATTTTTCATCCTCAGCAAAAAACCCATCATAGAAATACAGATGAATATTTTATGTACCATTTGAGTACCCTTGGTGCATAACTGATTCATGGCTTGACTTTGCCAAGAAAGGATGTAAAGTAACTGAAGTGTGACATGGAGCCATTTTGAAAGGATAAATCAAGCCTTAATAAAAGACCGTCTCTCTGAGTGACCAACAGGGGTCCAGCACCCTTGCCCCTGCTGGTAAGTACCCCCTAAATCCTTTGCTGTTTAAATTATACGGATGCTATGACAGGGTACTATCTAATATGGGGTATCAACTGGGGGTTGTCTGCATGCCCTTTTCATGCCATTATACCCTTTTACAACTCCCTGTCTGAGAAGACTTATCATGTGGAGTCTAACTCCCTTTTTTTGTAAGAAATAAAGTCAATGACCTAGTGCTATAATGGGCTTGGAGCTCTCAACATCTATGTCCAATATTGTTTTATTGGTACAGAGCCTCACTGATGTAAAAAGGGTTCTGCCCTCCCACCTTATGGACCATCAATGAACAACTGCAGAGCAAAAATGTCTACTAACTTATCATATTCAATAACTTCCTAGAGTGTTTTCAGTGGGCTGTGTTTTTTATTTCTTGCTCACTCTCCAAACAATATTGGCTTTCAAGTAGGTGGGCAGTTATGAAAGGTCACCCTAAGTGTAAATTGTCAATACTGGATCCATTTTGGAGGGCAAATAAGCTTGGGAGGCCCCATAATGGAAGGTTTTATCTTATTTTTACCCAGGGCGCATTCACACAATAAGATTGATATCATTCATTGTTTGATGAATTCCTAATAGACCTATAAACTTGGAGAGCTTAAAGCCAAAGGAATGCCTGTGAAAACCAAATATAGGGGAGGCAGTCCCACTGGCTGAAAAATTACCCTCATATAATTCCAATGGATTCTCGCCCAAGCCATCATGCTTAGTGCTGAA